TGGGGGGGCTCAAGGACCAGAGTCAGGTACCTATGAGAGCTGGATGGACTCAAGGACCAGAGTCAGGTACCCATCAGAGCTGGGTGGACTCAAGGAAACAGAGTCAGGTACCCATCAGAGCTGGGTGGACTCAGGGACTCCATATAGACTCGAGCCCGGGATCCGAACTACGTTTTGGTATGTCTCATGTTACAAGTTCTGGTCAAGCTCATCCCACTGGGTGTTGAAAAATAACAATTACCTTCTTTGTATTTCCATTACATTCGATGTAGCGCCACACCCAATTAAAGTAAACTTTTAATAAACGATTAATCAAAATATTAAAATTTCTACTTACACCGGATGATCAACGTACACAGCAGAAAAATTGAAAGTCTCATTCTGATAGAAAAGTGTACCATCAAGCCCTGGTTAAATTGTACAATCAAGCCCTGATAGAAGTGTACTCAGAGAAGGATTGTTAGTGTTAGTCTGCACGAACATGCCAGTCCTAACCCATACAATTTCTACATGCAAATTTTTAGTCTGTCGCGCGTTTAATATTGTATGAAACGCAGAAATGTCATACATATTTCAGATCACATTGGTAGAATAATTGGGGAGCTTTGTCATAGTGATAACATTTTCAAATTTATGACACTAGAATAGAGGAACTAGCTCTTCCACAAACCTGCTTCTCTATTCTCAATACTAAAATCATTATATATATATATATATATATATATATATATATATATATATATATATATATATATATATATATATATATATATAAATAGTCAAAGTTCAATTTGATTTAGGAATGCACCTCTCTGAACAATGAAATGCACCCCTTTATTTATCAAAATACAGCCAACTGTATAAAAAAAATAATTAGGCGACCAATTAAGTCAAATTGAATGTCACGATGCATTGTCTTTATGTCTTGACCCACGTACCAACTACGAACCGTTTCTGTCAGTTAGAAGTGCCTGCAATTTCACACGGGCGTTTCGATCTAGACAGACTGACGACTGACGACAGACAGAGGAAGTGAGTTAAATAAAAGCTTGTAAAAACGTGTCCCATTGGACATGGAAATACTAATCTTTACTCTGGACTTGAAATACTCCTCACTGTACATAAAACGTTACACATGGGACATTAAACTACACCCCCTCCGCATATTAAACATCACCCCTTGGTTATGGGAATACATCTGTCTGGTCACAAAATACTGATGTGTGGCCAAACAATCAAATATCATACCGGGACATGAAACATATTTGACACCAGTCACGTCCTTAATTGGGTGTTTCCACACTGCTGTTGTTAAATTATGCACAATGTTTTCGTGAGCTGAACTTTCAATACTTGAATAGAACGCCCAATCTGACCTAAACACATGTCGGTTGGGCGATGACCTAATCGTCCAAGGTTAGCTAGGTCATATTTCGAATCGGTTGTGAAATATTGCTGGCTAATATGATTGTAGTCTACTAGTTTTGGAAGTGTGTGTATGCTTGTGTGTGTGTGGTTATGTTCATACATGTGTGTGTTTACGTGTGTGTATGTTTGCGTGTGTGTATGTTTGCGTGTGGGTGTTTATGTTTGCGTGTGTGTGTATGTTTGAATGTGTGTGTCTTCGTGCGTGTTTGTGTGCTTGCGTACGCGTGCGCGTCTGTGGTGGGGGCGAGGGGGGGGGGGGGGGGAAGAGAGAGAGCTAACCCATCATCTTTCACCCGAGATGAACCTATAGCTAAACAAATATATATTATTAAGACGTATTAGAAACAGATTATTGTTGTTTATCTTTAATAAAATATCTTAAACATATGCCAAAGATTTGTGTAACTTCTGACAAGCCTACATTACCCCTAAATGGCTCACCAAAATTCTACCGCCACACCTTAGATCCGCCTATTTTCGCTCACTTGATTTAGACTTGATAAAGACTTGATTAAGACTTGATTAAGACTTGATGAACACTTGATGAACACTTGATTAACACCTGATTAACACTTGATTAACACTTGATTAACACTTAATTAACACTTGATTAACACTTGATTAACACTTGATTAACACTTGATTAAGACTTGATTAAGACTTGATTAACACTTGATTAACACTTGATTAACACTTGATTAACACTTGATTAAGACTAGTACCTCACCCCACGTCAACGGTTTTCTTCTAATACAATAAAATCACCATACATTATTTCCAGAAATATTTCTACAAATAAATGCCATAATCAATTGATTATTATGTTAACCTGTCTTTACTTCTAACTAGTCTATCTTTTGGTTAAGAAAGCAAGAATCGTATTCTTCAACAATTGACTTATATGTGATTTTTAACAATAGACATTTTGTTCAAAAGCTCAAATTACTATTGACTTCTACATCATTTAAGGGGGGAGTTATAGATGATAAACTTTGTAGGCTAAAAAACAAGCGTCAAAACGGTATTAGAAGTATCATTCTATAATATTCTTTCTTCAATGGAATTAACTTTTTTTTTAAATCAAACAAGGCAAGAATTATTTTTTTCAATTGAAGTTTGAACCACTATAATAATTGAAGAGTAAATTCCCCTAATCAATTTTCAAAAACGTTTGTAGTTTTTGTTAATCCTACAAAAGAATCAGGAGACGAAAAATATCGTTGAATCATGCTGCGGAAAGAAAATTTATTTTTCTAAAGAATTAATACTTATAGAATTTAAAAAAAAAAATAAGATCTCGAAGCCTACCTGGCATTGATATAAAATTCATTATTTCATGAGGGTTTGCGTTAGATAGTGGTCAAATAAAAAGCCTCATCGCTGACCTTTCAAACTAACACTACTTATGTATTTATTTATATGAATAGGCATAATTGGCCAGTGTGGTGAACCAAATTCAGCCTGTGAATACAGCAATCTGTGTTCAAATCTTTTTCCTTTAAATCTAATTCATTGTTTAATGAAAATTTTAAAATTTGGATTCATTAAGAAACAAATATCATCTTCTTCTTCTTCTTCGTTCTTAATTATAAGTGTTGAGGCGGATCGAGATTTATCTGCCAGTGGGTTTTAACTCGAGACTTTGTTCGAATTTATCAACCATGAGCTTTTTGCCGACTCGACCACGCCTCCAACACAATTAAGCGTTACGTGTCAACTGGTTATGCGCCATTGAGGCCATTGACTCCGATTTCAGCCTGCTTTTCTTTTTGGATTTGCTTCCATAGCCTTTGTCCAACCAAGAACAAACTACAAGGCAGCAGTTGTTTAATTTTGGAGTTGTCTCTCCTAGAAGAGTGGCTGTCCCCAGCTAACGAGCCTCATCTGCCCGAGGGTTCGATCTCGAGACTTTTTCGGTTTAGCAACCATGAGCTTTACCGACTCGACCACGCCGACCCCTTCACAAATATCATAAATCACTATAAAAAATAATAAAAAGTTACAAACACCAACAAAGCATTTATCAGATTTTTTCTGACTCAAGTTTTTCGTTAAAAAGTTTATTTACAATCACTGATCACACTTTTTTTTTGTGTGAAAATTTAAACTTTTTTCTCATTTAACTACTTCAACCATCATTTACGATGGAACCGACCCACTTACCATCTTTCACGAATTGTTTTTAGAGTTTTTCTCATCCTCATTGCATCATAAAAAGATTTTTTTCATCATTATTTTACACCAAAAAAAAGTTATTTCGAAACATTTTTAATAACTTTGAAAAAATGTTAGCTTGAAATCAATTATCCACTAACTAATAAGCTACGTTTATATAACCTGCAACGAAAATCTAGAAAAAAAACATTTCGGTTTGTTGTGTGGGAATGAAATAATGAATGTACTGTATTGTGAGCTTGTTAATGTTTGTCCTGTTTACATGTCGAGTTGTTTAATATCACATTTTGTCAACACCCACTTTTGTCATTGTCCAGTTTTGTCATTGTCGAGTTGTGTCCTTGTCCAGGTATTTAATGTCGTGTAATAAGTAGCGTCCAGTTTTGTCATAGTCCTATGTTGTCATTGTCCAGTTTGTCATTGTCCAGTTTTTCATTATCTAGTTTTGCCATTGTCCAGTTTTGCCATTGTCCAGTTTTGCCATTGTCCAGTTTTGTCATTGTCCAGTTTCTCATTATCCAGTTTGTCATTGTCCAGTTTGGCATTGTCCAGTTTTGCCATTGTCCAGTTTCTCATTATCCAGTTTGTCATTGTCCAGTTTGTTATTGTCCAGTTTTGTCATTGTCCAGTTTGGCATTGTCCAGTTGTGTCCTTGTCCAGGTATTTAATGTCGTGTAATAAGTAGCGTCCAGTTTTGTCATAGTCCTATGTTGTCATTGTCCAGTTTTGTCATAGTCTTATGTTGTCATAGTCCAGTTTTTTTTGTCTTAGTCCTATTTTGTCATTGTCCAGGTATTTAATTAAATTGTAAGTTAGGGTCAGGGCAGTGGCGTAGCGAGGTCGGGTGTCACCCGGTGCGGCACTTAATGGTGTCACCCCCCAGAGGCGTAGTGACCCTTCCTGTGGACAAACTTTCAAATTTTCGATTTGCACCCCCCCCCCCCTCAAACTTTCGATTAGCACCCCCCCCCATCAAGTTTTTCGCTATATATTTTGCTATTTTTTGCCTTGGTGTCACCCCCCTAAATGGTGTCACCTGGTGCGGTCCGCACCCGCCCCCCTCGCTACGCCCCTGGGTCAGGGTTTGTTTCAGACAGCTATCTTCGGGGAGGGGGGGGGGGTCACTTGAAACCTCCGGGAGGCGAACGCTGGTTAACGTAGTAAAAACTTTGATTACAATTTTTTTTTTATTTTGTCCGGGGACAGTGCCCCTCCCCCCCCCCCCCTCAACCGGGGACATGGCTGGAAAAAAACACATGTTTTGAGTTGTCCCTATTACAACAATAATATTCGATTGAAACACTAGTAATGTCTTTATTATTTACATTTTGTCCTCCTGGAGTAAAATGTGCTAACTAAACAAAACAAGCGATCAAACAGCAGTAGCAGGGCCCACTTTAAAATGGGTACGTTCCGCCATCGCCGGAAGCGCGCGTGGAACGGGGGTCGTGTTCTGGAACTTGCCTCCCCCAGAGGATCATCCTGAGGGTGTCCCTGTACCTGGAACTCATCTTCAGATAGATGAAGAAGTTGACGGTGGCGTTGAGGGACTCCAACAGGAAACCGAACGACCACGAGACCTGGTTGGCGTTGACTTGCGACCCGTTTTTGGCGAACTCTGGGACCAAACTCATGACCAGCTGGTTGACCGTGTTGGGGGTGAAGCAGACGATGAAAAAAATGGAGATCAGCGACACCATTTTCCCGACTTGTTTGTTCCGGTGAGTCAGAGACGGAAGTTGGGTGTTGCCTTTGTTGAAAACAACGACGCTCTTTTCCCGCCATTGCGTCGCTTCGCGCAGCTTGTAGACTAGAACCGCGGTGAATATGGCCACGCTTAGAAACGAGGTCACGGAGAGAAATACGCCGAAGGCGAATGCGATATTGTCAACAGAGAAGCGGTCGGCTGTGAAGGTTAAAGATGTGAGAGTTCTGTTTCTGGTAGGTTCAAACACCGAAACGAGCCGACTTGTGTAGAAAGTTGGCGCAACGCTCGCCGCCATAACTACGAAAACTATAGTTATATACAACATAGACCGTTTAGGAGTGATGATGGATTTAAATGTCAAAGGCATGGTTATACACAGACAGCGTTCCACGGAAGCGGACGCTAAAATCCAACTCGATACCCGAGCGCAGGATAATCGAGGCAGCCCAGCGGTTAGGTAAACAAACTCGCTTGGTTTGAAAGGGAGATCGAGGCTGGAGAAGAGCGGGTTGTAACAGATACTCAGCCACACGGCGAATACGACTATTCCGAGATCGGATACAGCCAGGCCGGTCAGCGTCACGTTGATGGCCTCGCCGTACCCCAGCCGGGCGAAGACGCAGATGTTGATGACGTTGACGACCACGCCCACCGCGCTGACGATTTGGCAGAGGATGGCCATGTTGATGACGACGATGATGTTGCGGACCTCGTCGCTGACGACCTGCCGGACAGGCCCGCCGTCCGTGGCGTTGAGGCTCGCGTAGCACACGGTCGCTACACTGACCGTTGACCCGGCGACCGAACCGCTGGTGAAGGAGCCGCTGCTGGTAGTCATGTTCTGGACTGTGATGGTTGCTATGGCAACGGACCCCACTGTGGTACCGTCCATTGGTGAAGCTACCTCTGATAAGAAAAATAACATAGTGTAAATTATGTTGGTTTTTATCCAGCTACTAAAATAGTTTAACTATAAAGCTTGTTTCTTTTTTTCTTCTCAGCTATAAATTAAAAGTAAATTGCAATACCGTTTTATTTCCTAAAATCCACAGTATTTATCAGTCCCGTAATTGTGTAGGTTATCCAGTAAATTATATTGGGATATTTTAACAAATTTGCTTAACTGGTAGTTAAAAGGGACGGAAATTTTATATACAAGATCTCCGAAAACTTTTCATTAGGTCGTAAATCAATTTATAATTAACTCCGCTTTTCCAGCTAGGCGCTTATTATTATTAAAAGTTAAATGAAGCGTTTGGGGATTTTTTTTTTCTTATCTAAAAAAAAAAATTACTGGTATTAAATTTTCTAACCTTAACAGCTATCATAGCCATTTAATTTCCAACTAGGCCTATATTTTAAAACTCTATAATTATTCCGTATCTGATATTTCCTTGAGTTGTTTTCGAATACTGTTAAGTTTCGGGTAGACTTCCATTTTTTTCTTCTCTATCTAATCTATTTTATTTTTAACACAATTTTAGAAAAAAATAACAAAGGAATACATGTACTATATTTTGCCTATAATTATTTACCTGTGTAATTAGTGAAGAAAAAATCTCGTAAATATCCAATTTAGTTTACTTCTCTGTAATTATTTAAACTCTCTCCAATGTTTTTTTGTGAAATCTATTCAGGATCTAGATCGCAAATTTAAAACAAATTTTTGTTAAAGAATTTGTTGACTGAATGTGTATTTAAACGATACAATTTTGGTAAAAATGTTCTCATGCTGTATGTGACATATTTGCTAGCTTCTTTCTTTTTGTGCTGCTCCAATTGTGGATGGCTCATAGTTTATTGAAGGTTGATTGTTTTTCTTTTAATTAATTGTTGATGTTGTTAGTTTGTTAATGATTGAGGGTGTGTGGTAGCTCGTGTAGTGTTGAATGCTGATGTATTTTGTGCGGTTTGTGAAGGCTAGCTGAGCGGGGAATAGCGTCACGAAACGCCACACTTTAACGTAGAATGACAAAAGTTTAAATGGCGTGTTATTCACGCGTGTTTTGTATGCAAGTGATTTCAACCGGATCAAATTTGGTTGGTTTTTTAAATTGTTTTTTTTTATTTTATTTTTTGTAAGCCAGTAATTTTAACCGGATCAAATGCTTGAGCATCTGTACGCCGGTAATTTTAACCGGATTCAACACTTGAGTTTAGTATAAAGCTAGCTATTGAGAACTTAAAAACTGTGTTTTTGTGATAGTTTCTATAATGGAACTAAAAGCAATGAAATGGACACAAGTCGTTTGTTGATGTAAATTAATGTAAGACTCATTTTGTGTGGTCCTTTGATGGTCTATGTTAACTTGGTCATCTTTTTATAAAGATACTAATATTAATAATATATTAGTATAGATACCAATTTTGTTTTTATCTTTTTTTTTTGCTAGAATTATGCTTTAAAATTTAAAATTTAATTTTTCAAACATTTAATAAACGAAGATTCAGATCTAATTTTATTACCATAAATGTGGGGTTGGCGTGGTCGAGTTGGTAAAGCTCATGGTTGCCAAACCGAAAAGTCTCGAGTCTGAACCCCAGTAGGGCTCGAAAGCTGAGGACAGCCACTCTTCTAGGAGAGACAACTCCAAAATCAAACAACTGCTGCCTTGTAGTTTGTTCTTGGATGGACAAAGGTTACGGAAGCAAATCCAAAAAGGAAAAGCCGGTTGAAATCGGAGTCAACGGCCTATAAGATGTTGACGCACTACTTAATTGTGTTAGAGGGAAGACCTTCCAGTATTAAAAATTAAGAACGAAGAAGAAGGAGAAATTATCATAAATATCCAACACTAATAATATCAAAAGCGAACAAGAGAAAATAGTCTTGCTAGTATTACCTTGTGGTTGATGTTTTACTTTCCCAAACAGGTAATAGAAAAGGTTACTCTGAAATCTCCTTGTGTCCTGTACTGACTTGTATTAAAGTGTGAGGTTTGTCTCCCTTTGCCGAACGAATAACAATATATTCGATTTTATTTTTTATTCAATGAACTTTTAAATTGCGTCTAGTCAAGATGTCTCTGCTAAGCCTTTATGTCAATTAAAGTACAAATTACAAGCTAGCTTTAATTTTTTTTAAAAAGGGAAGAAATTGAAAATGTGGAATAAGCCTAATTATAATAGAAATTTCAAATTTATTTTGTATCGACATCCTATAATTGAAATGAAATTGCATTCCAATCATGTAAACGCCAGAATTTTTCTTTGACTACCTATGAAATGAGTTATTTTAACTGAAAGTAAAATTTAAAACCACGGATTGAGAATGGTAATTACATTTAGAATTAAGATATTTATCAATTTAACGTAAGCTTCCAATGTGACACTAAATTATTAGTTGTAATTGAAAATGGTTTTTTCTTCTATGGAAACTCATTTTATAATAGATCGTGAATAGTTTATTTCCAAACGAATGTTAATGAAAGGGTCGGATGAACAAAATAATTTTACCCTTCCGTTTTGCTGTTAGAAGCTTTTTTTTTTCAGACATAAAATCGATAACGAAATGGTCGGCTATCAGAACCAGATTTGTGATTGCTCGTTAATAGTTATTTTTTTTAAAAAGCTGTTGTTTTTAACATGAAAAATTTATAGGCGAAATTTTCTTTTCCAGGTTTATGAAATGGCCAAGTTTGCTCTGATTTACTTCGGTCCATTTTGCTGTGATCGGTACCTGGTTTGTTGAGGAAAATTAAAGTGGTTGTGCATCGTGCTCACCACATCATCCCTCCACATGTTTAGATCAAAGATGCTTGTGAATTATTTGTGAACTCTACTTCAACTGCCCTACTTGGGGCACTGAAACCGTACAATATTTACATCTCTTTTCAAAAATTTCAAAGTTTGAAAACAATTAACGGTCAAAGACTTCAAAGAGTAAATACAGAAGTTAATAGGGTTTTTTTTAAAGCTTGTCGTACAACTTATCATTATATTGCATAAGAGATAACCTGCTTAAATGGCAATTTAACAACAAAAAACGTGCTTTTTAAATCTAGTAAACCTACTGAATTAATATTTTGGAAAGAACAATCTGTATCCGATCTAGGGAGATCGTGTAACCTGGATGTTATTTGTATTCGTCCGACAAAATTCCCACACTGTAAACGTCAGTCTTTAAAAAAGACAAGTGAATGGATTTTTTAAACGTTTGCTGCCTAAATGCTCGGACATAGTGATACATATTGGTACACATCGGAGACAAGTTTAACTGTGCCTAACGATCAAATATATCAATTTTGTTTTACTGTTTGGTCGGATATGTTGTGACTGTGATGAGTTTTTATTAAGACTAAATTTACATCAATTCGAAAATCAAGCAAGGATTAATTTGTTTATGACTTTTAAAGAACATTTCCATATCAAATTTAGCATTAAGCGCGGATTAATAGTGTCGCGTTTATTTTTTTAAAAAAACAGCAAACCGTCAACTTTAAAATCAAGCTCGTGTTACTGTACACTTTCATATCTAATTTAAAATGTAGACATCTCATCTAGGCCAACTAATATATTTATGGAAGAAATATCGGGATGTTAATCCGTCTCATTAAATCTATTCACGGAGATGGATCTTTAGGATGATTGCAAACATGAAAATGTTTAAGTTCAAACACTAGTTCAAGTGACAGTGCACTAAAACAATATATTTTGATTATATACGCAGTGGAAAACAGACTTCGCATTACAAAATTTAATCAGTGTGGTAGTGTTTGCCTAACAGCGCCTTGCCTGTATGGTGTTGATGACGCTTCACAGTGTAACTTAAATCTTGGATGTTTTTTTCATTGACATTTACTATCTATAGGGTATACTATAGGATCATTACTTCAATAATGTTGTGTCGCTCTTTTGACGACTTTTGCCCTCTTCCACCTCTATCTTAACACATTGTCACAAAGGGTCAGACCGCTTACCCCCCCCCCCCACCCCCACCCCACACACACACACACAAAACTGCAGTTGTTATTGGTTCAAAACATCTATTAAATTTCTACTATATTAATTAAGCTTAGTCAAGATTTGGCCATTTTTTTTTTACAAAATCGAAATAATTGTTACAATTCAGTTTAAAAAACTTCTTTTTAAATTCTAAAAAATGTGACGTCACACTTTCTGAAATCTTACCCTCTCGCTAGTCACACACCGTGACGAAAATCAAAACACATCACCCTCCCTCTTACAGTAAGAACTGTAACGTCATTTATTGAGGACCCCTGGTATATTCAAAAAACAAGTTTGGTAGGCCCAGTGTTATAGGCGAGTCGGATATAAACGCATATGACCCCACAAGTCTACTTGTACATTTAATTAGGGTTTTAAGACATTTTTCTAAGGGGGCGTATTTGAAACTTCATGGGGGGGGGGGGGGGGGGTGAGTGCACTTTAAATGTCCGGGACATTTGTTAAATTATACATTTTC